GGAAGTAGGATTTATAGTAAATATTTTTAGGATACCACTTTTGTTGTTGTTTTGAACCTCTACTTTCTGAAAAGAGGAAGGTTAGTGTTTCTTTTCCTTGATGCAAGGGGACATCTAGACAGGTACCCGAGATGAAACGACTGGAAGTCCATGCGACTCCAGCCCTGAGGTGTATTTCCTCCCACAGAAGGACAGACCAGTTGGCTCTACTGCTATAGCGCTGCACATCTTGACCAACCAAGATGTTAGAAAGTCATCATCAAAAGCATTACCACTACACCCTCTAGCTTCTCAGTCTCTCTTAGACATTTAGGATTCCACAGAGAAGACAGTTGAAGGCTTCTTGTGTTCTTGTGTGTTGGGTTAGTTGTTAGGGTTTTGTTTTGTTTTGTTTTTTATTTTTCCCAAGCTGCTTCTGGAATTTCAAGCAGCAAATCATCATGCCCGGCTATTTAGAGTTACAGAGGCAGAAGATCATTTTATAGTGGAACACTACTTCAGATGGAGGCAATCGAAAAGTCATTGAACTTAGCAGCTGTGCAGCTGCGTCACCAAAGCCCTTGTGCTGCCCAATTATTTTCCTTGGCGACTGCTTCCTCTAAGAACTTGTTTTTTCCTGACTATGCCTCAGTTGGCTGTTCGTGAGGGCCTGGCCAGTGTTTGTTGAAGAAAGAAAGAGCAAGCAGTTGCTTCTGTTATTCTCCAGAGATCTTTACAGGGAAAATGCTGTTTAACATTGACATATTCTCACAGTCTCCGGGGGAGCCTTTTGACAGAAAGGGAGGGGAAGAGGAAGGGAGGATGGAGAAGAGACCTGCTCTGTCTGACCTTTCTTCCCAGAGGATAAAAATCAAAAGAGAAAAAATAAATATCGTTTTTCTCTATTTTTGTTTGTGATTGTTGCAGTCTGAAGCTCCATCCCTGTACCCATGCCCCGTGCTCCGCAAGCAGTAGTTCACTACTGAATATACTGTTGAGCATTTTTAGTAGACAAATGCAATATAACATTTCCTTGCATGTTTGACAGAAGATAAAGAATTGGACCAGCCAGTAAGACCTTCTAAGCAACTTTGCCTTAACTGCTGGTGGTTCTCTTTCTGCAGAGGTTTACACCCCATGGCATGACCTGGAATGTTCTTCTACAGTGAAACCCCACAAAGCTGTGCCTGCTGACACATGCACTTGGAAGGTCTGGATAAAAGACCAAATCTACTGTTTGCGGAACACCGAAGTTGCAAAAATAGTCTCCTACTGTGGGAAGAGGGATGGGAACAAACAGAGACCTGCATGTTTTCCCCAGGCATGTCCAGTTAAATGAAGATTACAGAAACCCAAGTAAATAAGGGGAATAAAATAAAATAAACATGCTACACCCCCTTTCCCTTCCCTTTTTAAGTCTTCTTTCTACTTCAAAGCAAGCCTGAGAATTTAATCCTATATGTGGGTACAGAAAGCGTACCCATACTGTCCATACATAGTCTCTGGGATAAGCTCTCAACCTTACATGTCTTTGAACACCAGTTCCTGGCTGGTGGTGCCTAAACAGAGGCAGCATCACCTTCTATATCCTGCAGTGTCTTGTGGTTAAATAAACTTTCCATCAACTCACTGCCCTGGTATTATGCTATGGACTTGAAATGCTCAGCACAGCAGTCCAGACTTCAGAGCTTAGGAAGGAAAAATATAAATTCCTCTTTCTTCTGGATTTCTTACTAAACAAACAAAGCCTCATGCAAGAAACAAGCAGTCAAAACCAAACTAAGAGCGTGTGAGACTGCCGGCTGGGATATGCGGTGGTACAGAATAGCTGGTGCAAAACCAGTGGAGAAGAGCAAACAGAGCAGCTGCTGCAGAGGGCAAAATGCAGAAGTGGAAACAGCCGCTGTGGAAAGAAGCCGTGTGGAAGAGCTTTGCACAGACCAGCTGGTGCACAGGCAGTCACAAGAGACGTACAGCAAGAGGGACTGCTGGTTGGGTATGTGGTTGTGTGGAGTAGCTTGTGCAGAACAAACAGAACAGCAAGCAGGGAACAGGTTATGTAGAAAAGCTGCTGTGTGCTAAATTTGTGTGGGACATTTCTGTAGCCTTTCCAAGCCTTTTCAGATCCCCACAGGCCAAAATTCGGGAAGCTGCAGCAGGTACGACTGCTGGAGCATGAGATGGCTCTGTGCAGCACAGCGGCCACAGCCTGCAAATGCTTGCTTTGCCAGCCTTTTACACGCAGGCAAGTCCCATCCACCTCTCATGTCATGTCCAGTTCCCTGACAGAGCTACAGGATCCCCTGTACGGGAAGGAATTCCCTTGGTTTTCCTTGCTTGCAAATAGAAAGTGTCTCTCTTGCTAGTGATACCACATGTTTTAACGTATATCAGAGTGTGATGGAGCACTTGCGTAGTGGGAGAGCAGATAGCCACAATTAGCCGTAGGAGCTGCTACGCGGTGCTCGGGGAAGGTGACAAGGAGTGTGCCACAGTGACTGACGTGTGAAGGCTCTCGCTCCACTATTGGTTCCTCCTGGGGAAAGTCACTGGTGCTTTGGGATGTTACCCTTTCCTCCCATCCCAAACTGCCCTGAGGGTACAGAGATAAATAAAAGATGCCAACCCTGCAGAAAGGGGTCTTCACGTACCTGGCAGCAGTCTGGCCCAGAGTCATGCCCATCTAATTATATAAAGGAAACTAACAGACATATCTTCTTTAAAATGTATCTACTAGTCATTCTTTTTCTTGTTATTCTGTGGTGTTTCGCTTTCTTAATTTCTGCTTCACCCATTCCTTGCCTTCCTAATAGCCCAAATCTCTGATTACAAATGGTATTAGATTATGTGTGGTGTTATCTTGTTCCTGTCTTCTACTGTGCACTGAGCCTGAAAAGTTGTCCATCACTTGCTGAGCCCCAGAGCAGGCTTAGGGCAGGACAGGCGAGAGGCATTAGCTTGCTGGCAGCACTGTGCATCTCCCACTGCAGCGTAGAAACACCCTGAAATGCTCGTGTCTCTCCAATTACCAGTGCAGAGCTCACTCGTTCCTTATTTTGCTGATTAGACCTTCAGAAATAGTAAGGCTTTAGAAATCTTTGTGGTAGTAAGAGTGGTCACACCAACGATTATGAAAATAATTCATCTTGATCCAACCTTGGTTTGGAAAAGCTTCCTGTTTCTTTGAAAGATCAAGATCACACTTGTGTTAGTTCATTATTTTGCCTGAGAGACACAGCCAGTAACTGCTTATAACAGAAAAAGTTGCCTGAACATTTTGTTTTAGACACCAACTGTCATTTTATTTCATCTTAGCCAAGAAAAAAAGATAGCAAGGTTGTGTTATAGGACTAATGTTAACTGCTGGCATCAGCAGATGCTGACTCTATCTTAAGATGGAGCAATTAACCTTTGCAGCCCTGGCTAGTGTCAGGGAGACAAGCAGCAATTAATAGTGTGCTCCTCTGATCTCAGCAGTTAATGGTCACACCACAGCTGAAATGACAGAGAAGATCCTGCGGCCAAAGGAAGTGACAATGCTTTCTTTCTAAAAGAACCTCATCCGACCTTTATTCCCTCCAAGAGAAATCTGCTGCAATGCAACAGCACTTGATGTGTGAGCTCCAAAAGATTTTCAGAGAAAGCTTAGAGAAAAGGAACTGTTAGTAGAACACAAGTATATGATGAGTAAAGAAACCACCTTTCTCCCCTCCAAACAGTGTCATTATTTAAAAGCCCGAGGCACTTGGCCAGTGCCAACAACAGTGTGATGTTTTGATTTTAAAGCTGCTGTATCACTTTCAGACTCTGTTCAGTAGTATCATAGTAAGAGCTGTTATGCAATTTATTTCAAAATCATTACTGTGTAATCAGGAAGCCAAAAAGCCTCTCCTACAATAAGAGAAGCTAATCACTTTGTCAGTCTTCTTACCAATTTGTTGGTCAAAAATCTGAAAAATTAGCAACAAACTCATGGATGTATTTTGTCTAATATTAATCAATAGATGCAGAGTCAAACGTGCCTTGCAAAACATCAAATGGTAGTCCTCACGTGGTACACCTGCATGGTTAGGCTTGGCTTTAGCCATGACAGCACCACTTTTGCTTTTTGCAAGCTTGGATGCTAAGGCTGTATCTAATGGAAAGGAGTCGATCCCTCTGAATATGGCACACTCAACAGGTACTACTAAGTATATTTTGTTGGAGGGGTGAAAGCAGCTCTTCTTCTAGTGACAGCACAAGCATCACACCATTATTAGACATGGGAGATGATGTGAAGGAAAGAGTACTCATTTTTAGGAAGAATGTATCTTTCATCTGTAGAAGTGCAGTCACAGCCAGCTAGCAAGTAATGAACAGACTGCTCTTTTTGGCATGCTGGGAGTTGTACAAAGCCAAAGGTGCAAGGCTCATCACAAACAAGTCAGTTCTAGACAAGAAAGTCTAGACATGATGGGAACCTAAAGGGATGGTTCTAGCTACCCCAAAGATACACTTTGATGCAATCAGGTTAAACAAAGACACGAGAACCATGTCTAGAAAGCACAGCTTGCTGTAGGAAATGCTCCAGATAGCGAATATTGCTACAATTCCCAGTGTCTAAGAAGGACAATAGTTGTATGGTTTAGGGCACCTAAATGGATTTAGCTCTCAGCAATTTCTGTCCCAGGTTTATTACATACGTGTCTCACATGCTGTAGATGTAACACAGGGTTAAAAATGCTTCCTCTCTGCTTCTTGTCACACACAGGCAGAATAGAGGACACAGGATCCCAACTAGATTCTCTCTAAATTACATCAAAGCACAATTCATAAATAGGAAAAAAGTGTAAATAAATGACTTGTGTGCAAAGCATTTCTAAACATAGTTGGAATAAAGGCATAATAATTATACCATAGGGCTGCAAAGGGGTTTCATAACATCAGGGCCCAATTTTCTGTAAGGAAATTCTCTTTTGGGAGAGTCTATTCCGGTCTGACAGAAGAGGGAGGGAAGACATACTTGTTTGAAAAGAGGTTTACACCAACGTATTATTTGTGTAAACTTTAATCTCCTTACAGTAGAAACATACACAGTACAAGCCAAAAGTAGTATAACAATTCTACAGCAAAGCTTACCAGTACAATGCAAAACTGATTTGTATCAAGTTCTTAAAAAACTGTGTACTTTCTCAAACTTAACTTTGTTCAGCACATCGTTTTGATTTATATATAATAAGGCATTAATTCTATAAGAATCATTTACTATATTCCAAAATTGCATGACCTAGGTGTAACACTCTATAGCCTGACACCATGTTTGTTCCTGGCGATATTTACAGATTTAATCTACCTGCACTGACTCGTAGCATACAAGCAGTGAGAACAAATACAAGCTTTGCCAATACTAGTTTCACATTGAAAAAAGTTATACAAAAAAAGCTCAATTGTGCATTGCAATAGCTTGGTTCTGCTGCAGCCATGACTGCTGTTTAAGAGTAATTTCCCTTTTCAGCAGGCTTCCTCACTTCCAGTAGTATTTTGGGTCTTTCAAAACACAGAACTGAATCTGCTCTGAACCTGCAGGAACAGGAAGTGGACCCATTTCTACCAGCTACTCAAAATCTGTTTTCGTCCTCCTTCTCCCAAGAACACAGTTCTTAAATTTCTTTGAAAGTTAAATCTTCTATAAATGGCATAATTGAATTCATTCTAGCTACTATGTACAGAAATGGCTCAGGCAATTAAGTTAGTCCACCTTGTCATTAGTCAACAGGAAGTATAATTACTGTAGCTGCAAAGGAGGTATCTAGTGTTCCAGAATAAGTGAGTTTAATTATGGTGAGAGCTTCCTCAATTCTATTTACATGACAACTTCAGGCTCAATGTTAAATAGCAAGTCATCATTTCCTCTGCGCACTTCAAGTAGTAGAGGTGATTCATTCATCACAGCCTCTTGCAGGTCACTGGAAGTCATCAAAGGACGCCCATTGACTTTAACAATAATATCTCCGTCCTGGATCCCTCCTCTGCAAAGACAAGAGGAAAAGGGCAGTAAGTATGCAATCTCTGCAGAGAAAAAGTACAAAAGACTATTCACCATGTCTTTGGCTGATGTGATAAGTTTTTACTTTATTTTCCATTGAAGGGGAAATTTCACCCTTCTGGCTCCAAAAGAATAATTGGCAGTACTTGCTAAATGCAAAAATCAGGCTTGCATTATTTCACTGAGGGCTTTATTCTAAAACAACATAAACACACTGACAGTAAAAGTAGTCCAGCTTTCCCGTTGTCTTTCACAAAACTGCAGCAAAGGAGAAATAGAGAAGACATTTAGCCATGACTGACTCACTCCTCTCCATCCATTTGCAAACATGCTTTTATCCCTCTAGTATGTATTTCAAGCATTGGAAATTAAACCACTCAAAACTTCAAGACAAGCAAAGCATTCCAACTTAACTATGGTTAAATTATTCCTCTCTTGCTGTTCAAATGTAATCCAGAGTGGCTGCTTTTATTGCCTTTGCATTTTCTTAATAATTCCTAAAGTAATTTTTAGAAGCGCCTTATTTATTTTCCAACCATTCAGTAAGACAGTCTCTTCCTCTAAGATTGTCTCAGACAATAGCTCTGACAACGTCTTGTGTGAATGCTATCCTGTTTCCTGTTTAAACTCTATCCAAGTTTCTATTTATTAATATTTAACATGCTTTTAAAAACAAAATTCGGTTGACTGTATTTGGGGTGCTCTTCAAAACTGCACTGTCAGTGTTTCATAATGTCATTTAAAAAGTTCCGATACTGAAATATTAACACTTTTGTAGATGTGAGTAGAATCTGAATCTTAGAACAAATATTTTAAGATTAGGGTTGGGGTTTTTTAACCTAAAGCCACAATTTTTGATTGTTTAAATACAAAGCAAGACTGGTATGAGGAAGTACTTGAATATAAATATAAATATAACCAACTAGTATCTATTTGGAGATTTATTTATGGTGAAGAAAATCATATGCTCTACATACCTATGAGAAGGTGAGTTTGGAACAACTTCATGTACATAAATACCACTTCTGACATCTGGAAAGTCAGCATTATTGTGTTTCAGTTCTTCCACCAAGCTAAAAGAAGAACAAAGTTATATGGCATTTGATTCCACTACAAAAGCAGTAGCATTCATAATAATTATTTATTTATTCTCGGAGGGTTTTGTGACCAAAAATGAATGTCTTGACACTTAACTCTTTGCCTCGTATTCTTGTGATGAGAATGTAGAGGATTTGAATTTGGATTAAAACAACACGGATTTTAAGAGTCAAAACTACTTACCTGTGCAAAGCGTTGTATTTAATGGTTTTTGCACATCTCCTGCAAGAACCTGAGTTTTGCTATTTGCGGCAGTAGCACAGAGGACACTGTAGAAGAGCATAGGGACAGTAGCACTCTGTCCTAGGTGCTGTACACAGACAAGGGACATTCCTGCCTCAAAGAATTAATGCTGGGGATGGGGAAGAAATTTGCTAACGATTTGGCTTCTTCTATTTTGCAAGTCATTCTTAATTTGTCTTTGTCTAGAAGAATATAGCTTTTGAGAACTTCATTCATCAGAGCAGAACTGTGAGAGTTCTCCAAGGAAAATTCAGTTTCCTCAAAGTTTCTTGAGGAATTGTTTGTGCATCCCTTTCTAATGAAAGAAGACAGGAACCAGCTGCAAAATAGAAACTCTAAAAACATCCTTTCATTTTTGAGGGAATGACATAATTTCAGGTCTGTGTACAGTGTGGGTCAAAACCCATTTCTAGAAAGAAAGGGTTTTAAACTAATGATGGATTACTCTGCTGCCTGCCCTGAAAACCTAGGGTCCCTCAGAAGGAAAGCAAGCCAAAGTGAAGTTGTGTGCAGCCACTTCAGTTGATTTTGTAGTGAGGAAGCTAACAATTAAATAACTAAAGCAAACACACCAAGTGAAGTAGTCTTTTCCTGTAAAGAGGCCTGGAGATACCTTACAGCTTCATTAGATGTCACAAAAGCACTAAAATCTCACATCATGTTCACTTCACAATTACACAGAGAAGCGTTCTGAGTTTCTCGCCATAGGGGGTGGCCTAGTGATGTTAATGCCATTACACTGCTTTGTTCCAGCTGAGGATCTGACCCTTTGGGGAGGACTAAAAAACTGTAACTCAATAAACAAAGATGGCTTTACTACAACCCCAGCTGGAAATTGTCCTGTTTAATTTGGTAGTCTACTGCTATATTGGAAACATGCCTACCGCTGGGAAAGAACACAAGAGTAAGAGCCTTCATCTGTTATGCCAGAATACATCTGGGTAACGGCAAGACACAAAGCAACCTGAGAAAGAAAAGACAGTAAAGAACTGGAGGAGCGTTTCCATACTCTGGCTTTGTTCACATGGAGCCTTGAAGCTTTAGTTCTGCTCTTTAACAACTACTATCTTCCCAGTTAACGGTTAGGCACCAAACCTCACTTTATATGGCCTCCACTGGCACTGATAAAACTATGGCCAAACCCTCAGGTAGCTAATCTGTCACTGGCACTCACAGCCACCTGAAAGCAGCAGCTTGTTTAAATGGTACCTAAAACATGGTGTAACTCCAGATATCCTTCTCAAGAACCAAAATCAGTGTTTGGGCTCTTCCTAATTTCCCTCCACCATTATGAGTATTTAGAGAATGACTGACAGTGATTTTCAGATCTCAGAACATACATTTCACCAATATCATTAAATATCCTAGAAGCTAATGCACACTTCTGGATTCTCTGGAGATACGTAATGAAAGTACTAATAATACTTTAATAATAATCCAAATAATAAACCAAGGTAATTAACCAAAATAATTTAGTTCAACAAGGCCAAGTGCAGGGTCCTGCACTGGGGCCACAACAACCCCTTGCAACACTACAGGCTTGGGGACGAGTGGCTGAAAAGCTGCCCAGTGGAAAAGGAGCTGCAGCTGGTAATTGACAGCCGGCTGAATATGAGCCAGCAGTGTGCCCAGGTGGCCAAGAAGGCCAGTGGCATCCTGGCCTGCATCAGGAACAGTGTGGCCAGCAGGACCAGGGCAGTGACGAGGCTGGACCTTCACTACTGTGTTCAGCTTTGGGCCCCTCACTTGAAGATATTGAGGTGCTGAAGTATGTCCAGAGAAGGGCAACAGAGCTGGGGAAGGGTCTGGAGCACAAGTTCTGTGAGAAGCGGCTGAGGGAGCTGGGGGTGTTTAACCTGGAGAAGAGGAGGCTCAGGGGAGACCTTATTGCTCTCTACAGCTACCTGAAAGGAAGGTGCAGAGTGGTGGGAGTTGGTTTCTTCTCCCAAGTAACAAGCGTTAGAACAAAAAGAAATGGCCTAAAGTTGTGCCAGGGGAGGTTGAGACTGGATATTAGGAAAATTTCTTCACCAAAAAGGTTGTCAGGCACTGGAACAGGCTGCCCAGAGAAGTGGTTAAGTCACTCTCCCTGGAGGTGTTTAAGAGACCTGCAGACAAGTTGTGAATGACATAGTTTAGTGGTGGTATCAGCAGTTAATAGTTGGACTTGATGATCTTAAAGGTCTTTTCCAACCTAAAGATACTATGATTCTAAAGCTGAACGATGAAGTTCTGAACCACTATTGACCGCATCTTCCACACATGATCATAGGGTTTATCTAGGATACTCACGCTGGTGTTATTGTCAGCATTCTGATGCCAATGAAACGTTTCTTCCCATCTGAAAATAACACAAAGGATATTTAAGAAATTTAGGCAAACAGTGACAAAAATAACTGCTTTGATGACCCCAAATATCTGTCCATTAAAACAGAATGTGTCAGCTTTTAACAAAACAGAAGTCAAACACATCTACACTGAGGTAATTTTTCATTTTAGTTCTCCTTGGTGTACAGAATGACAGTCCCTCTCCCTGCAAGTTGAGGGTAGGAGAGAAGCCCATCTGCACTCCATAAGCATTTTCGATAACAGTTTTCTTTCAGGAAATTCAGGAAGATTTGTGTGATCTAGAATCACATGACTTCAGCAAGTGGAAAGTTTCATAACCAACTACCATTTCATCTGAAACTGGTCAAGACAATTTAAACACAGGGTGTTCTTACTAAAATGTAGAAATGGGATTTAAAGAAACTAAAATTTCCCCCTTTCAGAGAAAGGACAACCAAAAGATTCACAGTGATTCTAATGCAAATGGATTGTTCTTTCTACCTCAAAGAATGAAAGGCAAGTTTTAATAAAACCCATAGACCTCAGACAAAATTGTCACAAAAATGATGAGAGGAATGGAACACCTCTGCTATGAAGAAAAGCTGAGAGAGTTGGGGTTGTTCAGCCTGGAACAGAGAAGGCTCTTGGAGACCTTATTGCAACCTTTCAGTACTGGAAGGGGGCATATATGAAAGATGGGGACAATTATTTTAGCAGGGCCTGTAGTGACAGGACAAGGGGTAATGGTTTTAAACTAAAACAAGAGAGATTTAGACTAGATGTAAAGAAGAATCTTATACAGTGAGGGCACTGGCACAGGTTGCCCAGAGAGGTGGTAGATACCGCATCCCTGGAAACTTTCAAGGTCAGGCTGGACAGTGCTCTGAGCAACTTGATCTAGTTTGAAGATGTCCCTGCTCATGGCATGGGGGTTGGACTAGGTGACATTTAAAGGTCCCTTCCAACTATTTTATGATTCTATGATTAGCCAGGACTCTATAGAATTTTAAATGGTGAAAATTCAGTCCTTTAGGAACAGCACCACATTTCTGTAGTTGGCTTTTAGTATTCATGATGCTGCACAGCTGTCTTACGAAAAAAAATGTGGTTTGATGACTTCCTGAAGTGAGTGCTTCAGTAGTTAGTTATATCCGGTATGAAACAATATTTCCCCTTACTTGTTCCAGAGTAAGTACTTCACAATTTCTTTGAACTTCTCCATATTCTCATGTGAGGAAAAAGTTTGAAAAGGAGATGTACACAGTCTCCTCTAACTCTTACTCTTTACAAGAAAAAAAGTCCTGAGCAAAGGAATTAGTCCTGTATCGTACATACGTCAGTATTCCCATTAGTGCCAATGAAAATATTGACTACTAAACATTCTGTTTCTTACACTCTGAATAATCTTACATCTGTAACTGTCATCCCTGCTTTTCCCTGAAATTTTCTGGCTCTCCTACTTTAAAGTGAAACCAATGAGATCAAAATCAGCTACAGTAAGAGTGTCATGAAAAGTGCAATTACTCAAAATTGAAGTCACAAAAGTGTACAATGGCCATGAACTAGTGCGCTCACAATGCTTCTCTAGTCTACAAGGCATAAATGTTTACGTTTTCACTTTTAAAGAATATCCAAACACGATAATTTTCCCACCTGAAAATAATCCCCCCATCCTGCAATGTGGACAGTTTAATGATGAAGTTATCTTCATGAGACACAGAGATGACAGACTGGTGACAGTTTACAGTTCGCATTAAACAGTGTGCTGCTGCCCATCGCCCGTGTGATGCAGAAATATGCAGAAGCACAAAGCATACTCTTGGGGCTGAGTTATGAATGTTTACATAAAATAAAAATGAAAATGAAAGAAGGGACAAAAGAAACTGATCTGGAAGAAACCAAGCATCAAGTAGGAGACTGGGAAAGAATGAAAACCCACAGCAGAAATGCCAATGATCTAAAAGAGAATTATTTCCCTAGTGGCTAATGCTACATGTAAAAATAAGGCTTTGGGGGGAAAAAAAAAAATCTAAATAAAAATGGTAACTACAAACTTACTCACAACTAAGTGTCTCATTCAACTTCATCTTTGGGCAAGCTGGGCTATTATTTCACTCCTGATCATGCATTAACATTCAAAATGGCCTTCAGCCCTCTCTCCACCCTAAGTTTACCACATTGCAAATAGCTGTTCATACTGTAACAGCAGCAGGCTATTGTATAAAGTACAACTAATAGCTATGAGCTATGGACTATTTTAGCAGCGGAGTCTACATTCCTCCCCTTCCCACCCTCCAGCCATTTCATATGTCAGAATACAGGTAAAAAACTTCAGGCGTTTTGTTTTGGAAAGGTCCATTCCATTCAATTTAACCCAAGTCAAACTTCTTGCACAAAACCCAAAGTTTTCATCAACAATTATTAGAGGGAATATAACTGTCCAGGTTATTGGACGTATCACCAGAGACTGAACAGGCACAGACAATCAGTTGCAGTGTTTTATCATCCCCAAAGGGGCGGCATTTTGACGTCGGGGTTAAGTCACATTGGCAGAACAGTACGTGGCACCTGAAACTGCCATTGTCATATTACATCTGCTCTGTGAATAACAAGTCTCAAAACCTGTCATTCTGGCAATTTGTACAATCATGAGGCAGAAGAAAAAATAATTAGGAGGACTGGAATACAGTGAGGTCATAAATCTAAGAAGCACATCACCAGGGTGAAGTCCCAGCAGTAGTTAAAAGAAGGTTAAGATGTTGGAACAATCAGGTTGAGCAAACGTGAAACCACTGCGGCTTAAAGATGGAACAGAGCAGAGGGAGATATTCAAATTGCGTTTCATATTTTTGTAAACACCAGGCCAGATTAAACACTGATTACAGTTGTAAAAAGTCAAGCAAACCAACCTCAACTACTAGCTTAAAATGGAATCTGTTTTATGTTAATAGAAAGTCACAAGCAGCTGTCCTCAAGTCACTGCATAGAAGCAGTTCACTATTTACAGGGATTTCTGTTCCACCGTAAGGAAAGCATTTGCTTTACTGTTAATCTTTCCTTTTTTTATTGATGCTTGTAACAGTAGGGATACAAAACAGACAGAAAACATGGGTGAAGGTGTAAGTGTTCATGACTTACAGACTGTGGCAAAAAGAACTAATAAATCCAAATTAAGCGGTCAGGTACTCAAACTCCTATGGGCGTGAGTAACGGGCACATGAGTATCCCCACTGCCAGCTGATTTCAGTGGAGCCAGGATATCAGAGAGATCTGCGAGTGAAGAAATTAATCCTGCGCTTTTTATTCAAGTGGAAGGCAAAACTCCTCTGCTCACTCCTTTTGCACTTAGATTGTCTTGCAGATTGCATGAGCAGTCCTGAAAGCACTTAAGAAAGATATTCCACTGCCAAACAGAAACCATGAAAACAGCTTGAGTATATAATACTGAATTATGTGCAGTGTACCTTCCACATCAACTGCATAGCTGAATTCAGTGAGCAGTCTGAATCCATACTCAGCAGGCTGCCTAAGCAGCCCTCATGACCACTGGTAATTATCAGTAACACTCCTACAAACACATAGGCAAGCATATAGTCTCAACACAACCAATAAAGTGTTCTAGGGACGTAACTGAGGGTTCAGATAACTGACTTATTGGGTGTGGCCAATGCAAGACTCCACCGTTTCTCCTTGCCCATCTGAAGAAAGGTTTATTCACTGTTCTGCTAACATTAGATAAGGCCAGGCTGACCTCTTAGACTGGATTTTCTCTCTAGTACATTGTCAGATTGCTAACTTACTGTTTTCTGTCCTGGAGGATCCATGTTTGAATACTCTAGTTTTGCTGTTCTGCTCAAGCCTAAGCTAGGAATAGATGGCAAAGCCAATACAAACTGAGAAATTCTTATGGGATACTTAACAAAAGACACTGAAGTAAAAACAAACCCCAAAAAACCACCACCACCAGTCAATGCTTGGGTATACAGATGACTTATAGAAGTAAAGACAGAACACACAGATGGTTAAAACTGAGCTATAGAGACATTTAACTTCATGCACCAGTTTCAGAAATCCTAACTATAAAAGGAGGTTAACATTACTACTGATAAATCCAAAATTAGCAAAGGCTTTCAGACCATTCAATAGGTAAACATCTCTGTGCAGAGGTGGTAAAGCTTTGGTCAAAAATGCATTAGATATTATTATGTATTACCCATGCATTAGGTGAAATAGAATGTTTAGATAATAATCAGTGCAAATAATTCATTCAAATGCCATCCTCTCCTCCTTTTCCACCCCCCTCCCCTTTTCTGTACTGTAGTAGATCATATATTTGCAGTTATATACAATGCACATGACTTCAAAAAATATATGCCTTCTATATAAAACTGGTAGTTACCTGATCAAATGAGATTTAAAAGACTAAGGTCAAGCTTATTAAACAATATTCTGAGTATCTCCTATATGCCAGAGTAAATCTGTAAAGAGTGGTTTCCTAAGAGAATTTTATCATCTTTAGGCAATACGACATTTAGAGCAAAATGGTAATACCCTCAAACTTATTTCTATTACCTAATTGTACCATAAGGGCGGATCCCGCTGAAACATAACTGGAGCAAAAGAAAACATGATAAAAACATCCCAAATATTCTGCTTACATGAATTTCTTATGACAAGAAATTACGCCTATACAACAAACTTGAAAGCTATTACTAAAGCCCTAAAAATGCAAACTCAGTCTCAAATACGGTGAAAATATCTCCCAGAAATTCTCTTGATGTATCAAGGGCTTTAAATGACTGTTCTGTCTGCAGCAAAAGTACAAGAGGTACTTCAGACAAGCAAAAGAAAAAATATATTAAAAATAAATTAAAATTACTGTGCCCAGCATATGCCAAGCAATGGCGGTCACACTGATGCAAAGAGTAAGAGTGAATCCTTTTCCTTTGATAAAGGGTTAATGAGAATGATGGAAAAAAGTCAGACATTATGTTACAATCACAAGATAAGCTTTAATTTTTTTAATTTTTTTTTTTTTTTTTAATTTAAGGTCCCAGAGGTAAAGTTATCTTTAGGCCCCCCTTGGGGGGGGGCTCAGCTCCATCATTCTCTGGAGGCAAAGGTGCCTGAAGGAGCAAAGTGGCTGGGGGCGGGGGGGGGGGCCGTAGCCTTCATTGACTTTCTAGTCCCAGTTACCAGGAACCTGCCGGCAGACGGTGGGCCTTCAGCACAAGGCTTGCGTTCATGCCTCTAGAGCCATGCCTGCAGAGTGAGCCTTCACTCCTCCCTGTTTTGAGATAAGCAGTTTGGTTCTGAAGGGTAACATGTAATGATACAGTCCTGCTTCTCTCAGAAGCAAACAAATTGTTAGTAACCTGGGCGAATAAACATTTTTGCCTTGTTGGCTAAAACATAATTAAGCCAGCTACTTTGAAATGTACTTTTTCTCATCAACTTCCCCCTCTCCTCCCAAATCAACAAGGGAAAACAACCTAATCTGTGGAATTCAGCAAAACGCAAATGAGAAGATCCATCAGAATTGTGATGGTCTCAAAAAGATGAGCACATGCATTGCTTTGAAACCTCTGACTAAGGGAAGTTTCTGAAATAGCTGAGAGAACACTGAGAGGACAATGGTGTAGGAAAAAAAAACAACTGGATGAACTCGGGATAAAACAAGATTAATAACGAAAAGATTCAAGAGAAGCAGCAGCCAACCGTCATGATACAAGAGGAGTAGGGTGTGGGCTGATAAATTGGCAAGGAAAAGAGAAAGGAAGGTTTGGCCTTGATGAAGCATTACGAGATCAGCTTGGCTATGCAGCATGTAGTATGACTGCGACAGATAGGAGGCACTGGATGAACTCGGGATAAAACAAGATTAATAACGAAAAGATTCAAGAGAAGCAGCAGCCAACCGTCATGATACAAGAGGAGTAGGGTGTGGGCTGATAAATTGGCAAGGAAAAGAGAAAGGAAGGTTTGGCCTTGATGAAGCATTACGAGATCAGCTTGGCTATGCAGCATGTAGTATGACTGCGACAGATAGGAGGCAGGCACATAGTCAAGTCCAAAGTACTGCAGTTGTCAGTTGCTGGTATATTTATACGCTCCTTAATGTGGAAGCCTTTCTTTTTTTTCTGCCTCTCCCCCTCTTCCCCATGTATTTCTTCAGGAATTAGCTCCCAGCTCTTCTTCCACTGGGGTCTGAGAGCCTGTCACAACATTGAGTTATATAGCATTGACATAGATGACCATGGCAACACAGAGTGTGCACTCTACACTCCATACATGGACAAGTGTTCTAAAAAGTTTTTAGCTTATTCTCCACAGTACACCTTACTCCTTTGTGCTTGGACAGTATGTGAAAGGAGCTAAGACTCCTTGAACAAGAACCAGCTGTTTTCAAGATCGTTTGAGACTGTAATGACTCATCTGTGTCCTCACTATCCTCAGAGGCCCTTTTCCCCAGGTTTATACAGATAGCATCGATTCTTTGGGGGTTTGAGTAATAAAACTTCTCTCCCACTTGTGGGAAGTTGTTTTCTATTTCCAAGTCTATGATGTTCTACACTGTAAAATAACGCTGCTCCTTTCAGTAAATGGATCCCAGACCCCTGTCTTTTGGCACTTCACCGACAGATCAGTAATAATTGGAAGATGTCACTGTTTCTTGCAGACCTTACCTTTACTTTGTTTGTCCTGTGACTCTGTGAGAAACTGTGTGATGCGGTCTGAAGGAATAGCAAAAGAAATTCCAGCTGTGACCTTCAAGGTGTTAATCCCAATCACTTCACCATCCTGTTGAGAGACGGTACCCAATCAATTTTCCCCTATGTGACAGCATTCAGCTCACCGCCTAGCATTTCATGTTCAAAGCTGGTGTAAGAAATTTTAGTGTTGTAATCACTCAAGAAATAAACATTACTTGTAAGGGAGGATCTGGGCTCTGATTCACAATCCCTTTCACATTTAACTGTGATGGCCAGAGAGATTACAGTACAGTTTGTTCATCCAAAGTCCATACCCCCTCCACCGAGCAGGCAACAGAGCAACTACTACGACTACAGCCACAATTCACTGACCTGCAAAATCAGTGCTGGATTAAAACTATTTTAAAATCAGCTGTGCAAATTAACTGGGTTCCATATTTGCTATACATCCCAGGTTTCATAGTGAACACGCATAATTGCTCCTACCAGATCCCATTTTCCTCACTGCTGAATATAATTTGCTCTGCTCTACGGGGAAATGATTTTCAATGGCATATGAACTGAGACCTAATTTTCATAGCTTGCCTTAGTTTAAGGGCATCTGCCTACCATCAGATTGAACAACTGGAAATTGGCACGACCTATGAATCTTTTAACAAAAAAAATATTCTCCTGCTTATTTCAAACTAGTTCTTGAAACAAAACAAAACTCAAGTCTAGTCTGGACTTACCAGATTAACTAGAGGTCCTCCAGAATTGCCGTACTGTAAAAAAATTACATAAGGGAACAATAAATTGGTGCTTCATTGTAGGAAATGCAATTTTTGTTTCAAACAGTATTTTGTTTGTAAGTAAATGAAAGAAATCAGGTCAGTTCTTAGGCAGTACTGCAGGACACAATATTGATCATGGAAGATTACAGGTAGGTCTTACCCTACTTGTGCACACCTCTTATAATTAGATTTTTTTTCTTTTCAGAAATAGGCCTTAAGTTAGGAGCAGCAACTTACCACTCCAAAATAGACCCTGTTTAAGAAGAATCATTAAATAGTGAAAACAAGTATTCCAATTCTTCTAAAGACTGCCAGAACAAGGTTGTGAAATAATTAATTGCTATTTAAAATTACATTTCAGTGAGAAGCATGTACAGTTCTTAAGTATTTTTATTCATCACTCTGGTTTGTAACACTGTCAGTCTCGCTTATTCTCCACCAGAGAAGAACGTAGTGTTTTAGGTGTTTAATCACAGCGTATTGCTATGAGGTAGGTACTACGTAAGGGCTGATTTAGTAAACACAGCCACGCAATCTTCTCTAGGGAGGGCATATAGCAGCTCTGAGCAGCCTAATGGCCTTCAAAGGAAACATCCAACAGGACTACAGGAAATGGGAGTTGGAGAAGTTCCTCATCCATCTTCATGTTAGTTCAACAAATTTGGTTTTGAGTGAGGCCAGAGTTTTCAAGTAGGTCTACCGAACAGCCAAGAGCAGCAACTTACCACTCAAAATAAACACAAGCTAAGTGATGCATGACAGCAACATGAGCCATATAAACTGTTTACACTCAGATAGCACTGGGCAAACCTTATAGATTCTCAGAAGAATAAAACAGACATTTTTTAAAACAGCTTCAAAATTCAAGTTTAAACAGAGAAATCAGTTTCTTACTTGCATCTTTTCAGTGTTCAGAGGCTACACACTTGATTCTTGTGTCTGACTGACACAAAGGAACCAAGATAACGATTTTTCAGTCTTCCTCAGCGTATCATCTTTCATTCACTTGCCCTCTGCTTGAAGGATGTGATAATGAATGAACTTGGGCACATACAGTATCGCTCCATTTAGCAATGTATGGCCCTATTTTCTCCTGCCCCATGTTCTTGCTGTCCTAGCATTTCTCAGAAGGCAGCTGCATGCACATTCCTGCAGGAAAGTCTTGGCTGAGCCACAGGAATGCTCTGAATAGACCAGCTCTCAAACTCCTCCCATTCCCAGGAGAAAACTAGTGCATTAGCTAAGCACAAAGCATCCCTATGCCAGGGACTCTCTTCATATTTTTTGGTGTCAGATGGCAAAGCAACTCAAAAACATTGTCATTTTCCTTACCTCCTCTACTATCACTATTCCATTTGACACAGATAATGCTATCCTTGTCTAAACTTGCTCATTAGCTTTTGAGGGCAGTGAATAAGTATAAACAAGCAACAGTTTGATCTCGAGGAACATGTATAGGCATGAATTCAAGAATCCCATGTTCTAATTCTGTCTCTAACACCCGTTTGTGTGCTCCCTAGTAACCTATTTTGCATAAGTTTTCCTACTGTCTTTTTACAACTACAGAAATTAATTCCAATTAAATTTCTTAAGAGCTTTAGCTCCTGGATCATATAGGAGTTTCCTGAAAATGCTCATTTTTATTTCTTAGTACAAAAAGTAATTACCCTCTTTTTTCTGTATAATTTTTTTTGACAAGTCTGTGACAATAAACATTTGTGAAATGCTTTGGATATGTGAAACACCAAGCATTATGACTTGTTATGTCAAATTTGGTATTGAGGTCCAGCAAATAAATGCTGAAAATATCTTTCTTTCAATTTATAACATATTTAAGCCACAAAATTTCAGGTTCTTTTCTACCTCAGATATGCATACAGTGCTCTTTTTAGACACACTAAAAGTTATATACACAACCAAGGACTTTAGTTAAGCTCATTGGACTCCTCCAAGCTGCTCTGAAGGGATATTATTTTCATATATTTCTGTACAACATTCAGTGCTAGGGGTCCTTAACTCCAAACAATATCTCAAGTTTTGTATTATTTCACATCTATGGGTGTATGTGTGATGTGAAAAGGGAAAACAAGAACAACAACCCCAATCCTCTCCTTGAGTTCTTACCTGGGTGTCCTGTCATTAAATTCAAGCAGATGCTATCAACTTGACTACTCCAGCTCATTCTAATGGATGGAGATGAAAGAAACTTTGGCTCTGTTCTACAGAGCCTGAGCTTGCTTGGCCAGCTCAGCTGAACAAGCAGAGAGTGAAATGTGTTGATTTACTGCTGGTCTATACAACCATGTGTTACTGCAGGAGATCTACGGAATGCGAAGGATCTATCATGTTTAACATCTTCATAGACAGCCTCCGCGAGGGAAGTTTTATGTAACCTACCTTTCACAACACAAATGCCTGAATACATCTTACAGACACCAAAAAGACTTTTATAAAAAAGGGTTTATCACCAATTTTAAACAAAGTTGTTTTCTTTTAGTTGATTCATCTTTCAGAGCACACCCTTCCCTGCTGAATAGGTGGGAATTTTGAGGTCCCAGGACTATGAAGCTCAGCTCCTTGCATAGTTATACTTACATTGATAATAGCATCTGTCTGAATGTAATCCATATCCGAGTCCCGCAGGCCAAGTTCTTTACCATCTCGCTGAGCAGTGCTGACAATACCTGTTGTCACAGTGTTCTGTAAGGCAAATGGACTTCCAATTGCCACCACAAACTCTCCTGGCCTCAGATCAGCAGAATGTCCCAGTAACAATACTGGTAGTTTTTTCTTAAATAAACATAAAGAAAGAAAGCAGCATTAGCTTACACCTGAAAATAACCTGATTGGAAAAATAAAACTAGCAAGAAGTTAGGAACACACACTTTCCACTAGATTTGTGAAAGAGCAACTCACTATCATATACCCAAAACTTATGCCAGGAAACATTGGCAGGGCAGTAGTGCTTTAAACCATTTTCAGAAACAAACTGCTAGAAGCAGTACCTTGCAATTTCTCTGGGAAGAAAAAAAGCCAACAAGATTCTGAATCAGCTTTCCCCATTTTCCAGCAGATTGGTCCCTCCTCCTTCTCGAAATAGTGTACAAATCAGCTGTTGACCAGCCTGCCACTCTCCCTACACCATGTACCACCTCGCAGTCCATCTACTGGCAAAAAGCTTGAAGGATTATCCAAAATAGCCTGGGGCTTCAGGTCAAGAAAGCAGAATCTGGCAATATTATGACTAACCTGTCTTTTTTTTTTTCTCCTTCCTTTTTACAGTCTGTAGCACATAAGAAAAAGTAATTTAATTATAAGATATGAAAAATTTCAAAGACTACAGAAACAGTTTTTTCAGTACACTGTTTTCCCCAGATAAATTTCCAAGGAATCCCTAAACATATATTCCAACCAATTACTCTGTACTAAATGAAACTGAAATAGGGTTCCAAAATTAATTCATTCATCTGTTCATGCCACTCACCTTAGGGTGAATCTTTATTGTTGCAATGTCAGATTTCTTATCAATATCTTTGATGGTTGCTTCATAGGTATCTCCATTCTGTAGCTGCACTTTCAATTGCTGTCTGCCTGATACAGCGTTCGTGCTTGACACCACGTGGGCATTGGTCACAATTAAACCAGAATCAGACATAATAAAGCCAGATCCACTGGAAAGTGGAACATTTCGACCAAAGAGAGGGTGCCTGTGCAAAAAGCAAATAATTATAACTCACAAGGGAAGCATAACTTAGAGAAGTAGAATCTAATTAGAAATCATTTACCACCTTTCACCCTGAGAAATAACAAAACTTTTAATGACCAACACTACAACCCTTACAAAAATTAGATTATAAAAATTGACAAAGACAGGATCCTTTTCTGAAAATTGTGACTGCTTTTAGTCAAACAAGAAGATAGGAACCAAGGTCTTCAGACAACTTGCAGCATCCCTTTTCTTTGCTTTCGAATTCTGTCTTTACAGGCTTCCTTGCAAAGACACTAGGAGAAAAAAAGGGAAGGAGGAGGAGCCCATCTGATCCCACTGGTTGCTGCTTCTATAGAGGAAGAAAATGACAACAGGAAATAATAAGGCTGACTAATGAGAAAAAGGGAAGAAGTAACCTTGCAGCTGGACAGAGGAGTGAAGGAAAAGGCGGTATCTCAGGGAATCATGAAGCCCAAGTGTAGGCTGCCAGGAAAAAGCATGTCTGGAAACTGGGAAGACTGGGAACATGAAAGAAAAGAAATTAAAACCACTAAAAATGGGTAAAACTTGGTTGGAAACAACATTAGCTGCAATATAGACAGTTAAAAGACTTTATAAACTGTTTAAAGTATTATGACTTTCCTCTATGAACAATTGCTGTATTGACCTTGGATTTGTTAGGGGAACAGAAAGTCCATGGGCAGTAGAAGATGAGAAAAAGGTCCACAAATTCTTCTGTCTTCCAAGCCATGGTCCTTATTAGGAAATTGTTTGAAAGTTCTGGGCTATTCAGCAGTAAAGAATTGGAGTCAATCCCAGGCAGAAGGCAATATCACAATTAGTGCCCAGCAGGCTGCTGGACAAACATTTACTTATAGGGAGAGAACAAACAATCCTAACTACATATGCTAAGCTCTTAAACATCTTTAACTGTAACATTCTCTTAAAAGACCAATCACCATGTACATAGAGCTGTGTCTTAGAAAACATGATTATCTCAATTTTGCATATTAAAAAAGCCTATAAAAATTCTTAAGCCTATTCAAAATTAGAGTACTCCAAGCAGAAAGGTATTCAGGTAATGAAGTACATATAATATTAGCAGTAATTTGTTCTGACAGCAGATTGTTTTGAACACTCCACGTTAAAGCTGCCTCCCAGGTTGTTTTGAGCACTCAATGTTAAACTTGCTGCCTCAGCTCCAGCTTCAGTACACTGAATATTGCTATGTTTCGGTCAGCAAATTTAGTACATTTTTTTCCCCCTATCGGAAATCATGTCTGTGTTTAGATAGGTTACATCTGGTCAATATGCTAGCTCTTAATGTTCTTCCTGACAAAATAAAATCACCTCTAATTGAAAGTGGAATAAGCGACAAGGAGGTATGTTTTTCCAGCTTACCTTCGGACTTTTTTTTTTTAAAACAATATAAACATAATCCAACAAGCAACACATTTTAGTGAAGACTAAAGAGACTTCCAAAGGTGAGACAGACATTTTATAGCAGACAATGTGTAAAGTACTGTAAAAACTGTAAACCCAATAAAAAGAGATCTACTAAACTGGATCAAAACATACAAATTGGTGGTTCTCTGGATAAATGAGTCTGCTGTATGTTTTAGAGTATTTTGTGAAATTCAAAAATTCAAAATGGAAGTTACTACACTGGAAAAATCTCTGTAGACTTTTGTTATACAACACAATTAAAAAACAAAGAATTGAAATTGTTACCTGAGGAAAAGTTCAATGTGCACAACTGCAGGTGCGATCTTTTCCACCACATCTGCTATGAAGTTGAATTTGTACCTTGGACTGCTGGACTGTAGATGACCTATACTAGCAGAAAGAATTGGATATGTTAATAAGACAACACCTTTTTTACCAAGTAGGTGAGAGAAATATGCTTTGAATTGGTCTATTTCTCTTACGTGGATGGTTTTCAAACAGGTATTGGAAAAGGAATCAGTCATTAAAATTGTTCAAAACTTATCCAGGATTCTGCTATATCCTGAGAAAATTAAACATCAGCATCACTAGGCTACAAGTTCTTTGACTTTCTTGGAAGTCAAAGAAGCTTTTTCTGAAATATTTTTCTCAGGACAACTACTATTATCCAAAACACACAGGGTCATAGGGTAAGTCAGGTTGGAAGGGACCTCAGGAGGTCTGTAGTTCGACCTCCTGCTCAAAGCTGGATTGGCTACAAAGGCAGGCCAGGTTGCTCAAAGGCTCTGTCCATCTGGGACTTGCAAACCTCCAAGGATAAAGACTCCAGAAACTCTCTTGGCAACTTGTCCCCAGTTCTTCACTGTCCTCCATGAGGTAGTTTTTCTTATATCCAATCTGAACATCTCTTGCTAGGACTCATGTTTCAACTCATGCCCATTGTCTCTCACCCTCCCACTATGCATGATTGTAAAGAGCCAGGCTCCATCCTCCTCCTAACTTCCTCATGAGTACAGGAAAGCTGCTTTTAGGTCCTCCTGAAGCTCCCCCCGAGGCTTAACAAGCCCAGTTCCCTCAGCTTCTTCCCACAGGAGGTATGTCCAGCCTAGCCAATCATCCTCACATCCCTCTCCTGAATTCACTCTCCTGTATTGAGGGGTCCCAAACGGGATGCACTACTCTAGATGTGGTTTAACAAGTGCTGAGTAATACAGCTGCAGCATTTGGGAATGGCATTTCGAACCCAAGTTAGGATTTTTTGAAGCAGACGCATTAGAAACCTGCTGTAAATTATAACCTTTACACATAAAAAGCTTTGAAAATTTGCATTTAAGCTGTCACAAGCAGCTGGGCATCTGCATAGATTAATAAATTCTAAGTGTTCTGATAAAAGCTAGCACAGTACATTAAAAAGCACTATACATAGCATCTATGAATACTGAATATAATTCTGTGGAATGAAGATCTCAGGAGAAAAAAGCCCACAACATCCTGGCTTCTAAAGTCACAACATCCTGGATTGTAATGTCACAACATCACAAAGTAATAAAAAGGCTTGTGCTAGAATGTCACATGCTTATCTGCAGTTCCTAATACATGGGGACATATGTTAAACATATGCTAAGGGACATATCAATAGCAATCTTTCACATTCACAGCCTGATGCTTTAAATCTAACTATGGGATGCAGGGAAGGGAGTAAACAAGTTGTAATCAGATACAGCAATAACTTTTTGGCTTTTTCTTTTTTTTTTTCTTTTCTCCTCTAATCTGGTTCAACAGCACACTGTTTATCCCAGGAGATATAATTCTTTTTCTGCCATTTATTCAGGAGGGGGAGGCTCTAAGTTCTAATTTCTAAGCAGCATCAACTCTTCAGAAGTAATGCTTTGCACCACCATGATTTGCTCTAGGTTCAACTCATGCTGAACAATGAACTTACTCTGTAGTTGCTCTCACATACACAAGTCACACAGTCTTAAAGGTTCTAGATTTCCCCATTTCTAGATCACATAACATAGTAATGAGTCCAGATACAGATTCTCTCCCTTGAAAGTATATACTTCTCCTTCATTATCTTCGCCAAAGTATTTAAAAGAAAAGTAAGTATAGGGCATCACACAAAAAAGAAAGATACACAGAAAAGAGGTAAGTTTAAGAAAAGAGTTCTCATGCATTTTGGTATTCTGTGTAGTTCTTCTTTCAAAGATAATTTTTACCAATTCATATCTACAGGTGTTTTACTGACTGTTAAGACTTGTAACTTGCAAATTATTTGGGATGAATATAAAGATTACAGCACAATGGAGTCTAACCTATTTACAAAAAAGAGTATCTAGTCTATTCTTTAAATGAATTCATAAGATGGTGGATGACAGAGAACTAGTTGTAGTTTCTAGAGTTTCTCAGAAAGCTTTCACAATAATGTGTTAAGGCACCTACAAAGTCAGGAAGACAGAGGCCTTGCATTACCACAGTATCCTGAGGAACTGAAGCAAAGACAGGAACTTATGGAACGGACCCATATATAAAGAAGGTAGATTTAGATTAGATATCAGTCAGAAGTTCTTCACAGAGAGGGTGGTGAGGCACTGGGACAGGCTGCCCCAAGAAGCTGTGGATGCCCCATCCCTGGAAGTGTTCAAGGCCAGGCTGGATGAGGCTTTGAGCAACGTGGTCTAGTGGAAGGTGTTCCTGCCCATGTCAGGGGGGTTGGAACTAGATGGTCTTTAAGGTCCCTTCCAACCCTAACCATTCTGCGATATGCTTCTATGACACAACACTGAAAGCAAGGAAGAAAGTATTGAAGAAACCAGATCAAGACAATTAGGCATTTCTCCATAGAAGTCCATAAGTTCTTTTTCCTGTTATTGGACACAGGATTTACTTCTGAGGGGAAAGAAGCCATGCTTACATTTAGCAAGCTACATTTATAGGATACGGTATAAACAGAAGGAACAATTTGGCAGGACTAGATTCAGTCTATTTTTTTATGTACATTCTCACGCACTCTGAAAAATGCCTCTAACCAATTGAATATCTGTGTTTCAGTACTTCGTCTAAAAGAGACACCACCAACAAGAATCACAGAGGACAGTCGAATGTAAGCACAATATATTGTTATTTATTTTGCTTACTTGATCACTGAAGATTCATCTTACCTTCAGGTCACAAGCAGCTTGCCTGATTATGCAGTAAATCCTTTGAAGTCTACTAACATGACTTTCAACGCTTGCATACACAGCAGTGTTCAGTGACTGGATGTAACACTATCATCACATTTATCTTACTAGAATGACTACAGATCTATGAAAGACAGTTGACTAGACCCTCAGCTGATGAACTAGCATAGACCTGGGGGGAAAAAGCATGGCAAGTGCAGGCTTTCAGGTTTTGTAAGTCAGCATAGCTCTGTGTGAGCCAGGGCAACTAAATCCCTTTGCATCTGCTGAGAGCTAAACTGTTTTGCCCATGCCAAACTGTCACAGCACAGCACACAGCCAAAAGCAGAGGAGGACTCCTGCCAAAGAACTCAGTTTTGCACCACTCCTGACTAGCCACCAGGGAAATATCATAGGTGTCAGTGACTTTCCAGGTAAGACTTGGGCTAGGCAGAGAGAAAAAGTCTGAAAGAAGTCACAGATGAATCTAAACATGGAAAGCGACGAAGAAAATTAAATGCAGAAATAGAGGGAGGAGACTAAAACTAAAGCACAGCTTGTCTTCTTTATCATACTCAGTCTGAGCAGAAGTCCAGAATCTCTTTGTTGGAGTCAGAAGACATGAATACTGAATCCAAGCCTGCACTACATGTTTCAAATTTCCCTGTAATAAAGGAGGATCAAGAATACAAAGTTAACATGTCTGTAAGAAAGGTGTAGCTGAAGATCCACTGGCCTGATTAGCAGTGAGCTGTTCTTACTAGTGTCTTGTGGGGGCTAAATACTGGTGAAAACTGCCTTACAAAGTTGAGATGCCTTCATAGAAACTGATCTCTCTCAATTTTCTACAAGATGGGAGTGATAAGGATCTTTCAACACATTATATGACATCCCAGGAACTCAAACTGTGGGCCAGGAAGATGTAATTGCAAACTAACATTTCCTTTCACATACAGCCCCATTTAAGGCAACTGAAATGCTAGTTGTTATTAATAATAACATTTTAGTGCACAATTATTAAACTGTTGGTTTTCATCTGAAGTTCTTAATATACTTTAAAAGGGAGGAATTGCAGCCTGAGAAACTAATGAAGGAAGAAGAACCCAACATTGTATAAATTGTATAAAGTCACTCTGAAAAGAAGTGTTATAACTGTTGTAGTAGAGTCAGGGGTTTATGTCAGACCTTCAATTCATCCTTTAACTTGCATTAGTTTGTAGACATAGAATCATAGACACTAGCTCTGCTGCTATTATTCTTACTAAAACATAAAATTAAATGTTTCTTTTTCTTTCTCCCCTCCCCCTGCCCTGACGCTGTCTGGAAGAGCTTCATGCAGCTCTCAGACCTCTGCTGGACTGTGAATATAAAAGCTCTGAGTTTACAGGAGCTTTGTGCATTTTGACCTATTGACCTACTGAGATTTGACATACACTTTTTCAAAGACCTCTCAATAACATTAATTATTTGCCATGGTATTACTGAATATTTAAAATCATCTCACACTAACCAAAGCTAATTTATCCTGGCAAAATGCCAGAATTAAATCCAATCAACTGTTGTATTACCAAGATATCAAAGGTACTGCAACCAGGTTGTACTTGAAGCAAAAAACCAAATTTATACTTTAGCTGTCTTCACATTCCTTAATCAAAAGAACTATATTTTCTCAATCTGCTACATATCTACCAATCAATCAGATTTTCAGCAGATCTGAACTCCCACCCTATCATTTCAATTAAGTGATTAGATCTTCAGAAGCATTCTAGCTCCTCTCACAGAAAACTCAAAACCCAGATTTGGATATAAGTGCATAAACTGGAGTTAAAGATGTTCAGCCTATTTTGTAAAATGGGATCTTGCATTTCCAGTTCTATGGGCTCCAACTACATTAAAGTTACATGGCTAAAGCTAAGTGCCTGTCAGTTAGGTGTATCCTTATTATCAGCCTAAGACTTTTCCTGGATAGAAGTGTTATCTACAGGCTGTAAGTTCATTTTACAGTGTTTTATTTACTTTCTTGCAGAGACAATAGACCCACTCCAATCTCATTAACACTGCTGTAAATCAGGAACAACTCCAACAAATTTGTAAAGTTAACCTAGTATGAAGACAACTAAAAAAAAAAAAATGTTCAGCAGAAACAAATCTTCATAATCCCACTGAAGACAATAAAGCTAGACCCATTTACATTTGCAAAAGACTGAAAGTTTCTGAATATCTGCCAACTTACTCCCTGCAGAATTAAATCAAATCACATTCAATGCTTTTTTAAAGACAATACGTTGTAGTAAAATCCACAATTTCGTATTAATCAAGAACTTGTGAGCCTGGGAAACTCATTCTTTTAAGGCTGTTCCCCCACCCCCCTTTTAAAACCAGCTTCAGAAAAGATCTGTGTGTTCAGCAAAATTATTATGTCTAAGGGAGGACTGCAACCTGGCAGATCTGAACACCAGGGATAAACACTGTCCCTACTGTGCTTTCATGGAAAGAAATGAAAGACAAATAAAAGATTATAATGTCTCTGCTTAAAAAACAGAAACATCTGCTGGAAACATAGGTTCATGGGCAGCTTTTCTGATGAATTCAGCATTAAGATCAAGTTGCATAGCTGTGCACTGACCATAAAGCCTTGGTGAGTTTAATGCCACATTATGGTTCAGGCAACTTGTTTATACAATGGATGTCTACTGTGCACAGATGAAAACAATTTGGTGAACCAACACCAAAGTGGCTTTCTTGTGCAGTGCAGCAATCACAGCAGCCAGATGGAGACAGACTGGCACAAGCCTTCCAGGACAGACACCTCACTGCTTCGCTGACTTCAGAGGGTAGTTACTCCTCCTTCCCAAATGACTCTCATAAGGAGATGTAACAAGAGCATCTCTTTCCTGCTAGCTATCCTATATAAAGCAGTGAAGGACTACGCTCTGAATATTTACCAAACACTGTAAAATATTCATCCTCACCTGCAGGAACTCAAAACAAACTCAGACCTAAGGAAAACAATCAGTAAAGGAATGTGACTAGAGTTTGTGTTTCCAGCATTTCCCTAAATACAGCTGCAGGCAGCTGTTAAAGCTTTGATGACAATAATACTAGTAGAAGACGTCAGTAGCTCCTACTGTGCTAATTTCCCAGAAATGCAGGTAATGATATACTCAATTGTTCCTCTTCCTATTTGTAGCATATAGCCTAAATTTGCCTAGGAGTTCTGCAGACTGTTCCTGTCAGTATCTCAGAGAAGTCCATGTGTCTGCTCAGATGGATAAGGCTAATTGTATGAGTAATAGTTTTCAGGGCAGAGACACACTGACGAACATCAGTGATAGAGTTCCGGTATCTTCACGCAGTACACACCCCTTTACTACACTGTAACTAAAACTTACCATTTGCCATCATGCTCTTGAAGCTAACCCAAACCTTCAAAAATTATTTTAAATTCTGTCAATTTTGGAATTATCACTCAGCAACTCTATTCTCCCTTCCTTTCTGCATCCTTTACTACTAATTATTGAAGCATCCTTGTTCATCAGACTTGTGTCACTAGGAAGCCACAGCTAAATTTTCTCAGCCTATCTTGGTTTATGACGGTCAGAATCTAACTTAGCATCAACATAAGCAACTGCAAATGGACAGGCATAGACTTTCCAAAAGTTGCTCCTCAGGGTCATTGCATGTTCTGAAAACAGCCTAAGTCACTCTATGTAAGGTTATTGTTATCTGAGATTGTTCTAATACACGTATGGTTAAGTAAAACTGGATTTGCTTTGTAACTAATTCAGCCCTTCAAACTCCAAGTCATCTGAGGCCAGATTTCTTTCAAGAACAGGCAAGAGAGACACTCGACACTAAGTTTAAATTGCTGATTTTCTTCTAAACCTCTCATTACAGCCATTACATGTTATTGTTAAAAAAAAAAAAAATCAGCCACCACCACCACACACCACCATAATTGAGTTCTATTCCTGGCTCAACCACCAACTCAGTCTGACCTTGGGCAAGACACTTGGTTTCTTTGAGCTTCAGTTTGTGCAGCTGTAGAATTGAATAAAAAAAATTAAAACTTAACAGAGAACCAGATGCTTCATCTAAGCTGAGGTTTTCTGGACAAAAAATAAAGCCAAAATAAAGTGAACACTAAAATAGTTGCTTGAAAGAAAATAATGTTACCTCTATCTCACAGCTCCGAATTCCTAAGCCTATTAACAGTAGATTCAGGAGAATTCCTTAAAGAAAATGTCATATATACCAAACCCCAAGCACTCAGTAAGCCCTTAGATGCAGGCTAGCTCACTCATTTTGGTTAAGCACTCCAATTATTTCATGTGGATCAGTTCCAAACGTGTATTAGGAGTACTAAAGCTAATGGATGCTGATGTGAAAAGGAACAGGCAAACAGCAATTTGTAACTGCAAAATTCTGAAGAGACTGATCATTGTAGCTCCAGGCAGGCATCTGGAGCAACTCTTGGCTCTGACAAGATAGTCCTCAAGTAACTCCAGGAATATCATTTGACCTCTTCCCTCTCCACGCCACTGTTTGCCTTCCCTCAAGAGAAGGATATATGAAAGGCTGCAACAGTAGCCCTTTTCCCCTCCGGCTACTCCCAGGAGTAATTTTGGCAAGTTTGCTACCTATGAATACATAGGACCATTAGAGGTCTACCTGATATAATGGAAACACTAATGCATAATTTTAAACTTCACGATGCGTATGACATTTGTTTCCAGAAACACTATGAAAAAGGCAGCAGAAGGAAACCCTTAAACTAACATATCAGTAAGTATGTGAAAAGATAGTAGCAGCACTAACACTTCCATGTTCTAGGTGTTTCATATGCTACTTGGTGTTTTTTCTGCCCTGTTTGAATGACACAGCTTTAAGGGGCATTTTCTGCCTAAGCATGGCTGTTGCATGAATCCCATTAACCGCCCATACACCACCAGGGAAGGCCCCAGAGCACAAGCGTTCCCGGGGACAAAAGCTCTGCTCATGCAGGCCATAGCGCAATGGACCAGCAGTGCAGCCAGCACAGGCAACGCCACCGAAATGCCTTGACATTATGGAACTAACAGGGTGCCAGCAGGACAAGAGCAAGCTAGTGCACCCTGCCTCGAGATGGGACGATGGCTGAGGACTGCCATGCCATGCCATGCCACTGCCATGCCCTGACAGCCTAAGGCCCTCCAGCAAGCTCGCTTCCATGTTGTCATGTGCATTCGTTCACCTCCCGCTCATGGGAACGCTGTGGCAGCGATGTGCACAACGCCAAGGTGCCCACAGCCATGCTACCATAGGGAAACATTCCCAGCCTCAGCCGACTCCTCTATCCCACACTGAGGATCAATGAGGGGAATCTGGACTGTTCAGAAAGGACCCGAGCATCCCTTCCCATACCGCAGCGATCACTGGTAGTGGGGCAAGGTGCCTTGAGCCTGTAGCGTCTTACAGTCCCTGTGGTCACTCAGTCTTCCCAGACCACTGAAAGTGACTTTTCCTAGCCTGGAAAGCAGCACGCCCCTGCACCGCCCACCGCCGCCCTCCGCCCCACGGGCAGACCCCGCCATGCTCCTACCCGATTCACAGGCTCCCTTCTGGACCTGGGCGACGGCGGGTAAGCCGTGCTGCAGGGCCTTGCGGCTCACCGCCTTCAGCTGGCAGATGTTGTCGTAGGTCCGGCCGTCGCTGCCGCACACCTGGGCGCTGAGCTTGCACTGGCAGACCCCTTTGGCGAAGCGCTTGCCCATGGGGTAGCGGCAGTCGAGGCTGTCCCCGCAGGGAGGATCCTCCTTGCGCCCGCAG